TATTCTTTGCAAACTATTCAGTTATAATAAAACTTTTATATGTCATCTGTAAAATAGAGGTAATAGGTTTTTGACATTATTATAGGTGGTACACCAGCAAAAATGTTTGAAGACCACAAGCATACTGTCTCGGTCCTGCCTTTCTCAAACTGTCACCCTGTTACTACCAACATTGACCTCTATCTTCTTAGATCCAAGAGACACTCAGACATCACCTTACTTGACCTCTCTTCCATATCTGTTACTATTAATCACGTCCTCATTCTTTTTCAGTGTTTATTTTTGAGAGACAGAGCATGAGACACGGAGGGGCAGAGAGAGAGGGAGACACAGAATCCGAAGCAGGCTCCAAGATCCAGGCTCCAAGCTGTCAGCACAGGTCCCCATGCAGGGCTCTACCTCACGAACCACATGATCGGGACCTGAGCCGAAGTCAGCCACTTAACTGATTGAGCCACCCAGGTGCCCCATCACATCCTCCTTCTTGGAACAAGCTTAACACCACCTCTTACTTTCTTCCCACTACTCTCTTCTTTCTATTACACTTTTATTTATAGGATGTTTGGTTTTGCTTGGGTATGTAGGGAGTGGAGACTTTAAAGAGAAACTATTTCTGGAAATCTAATTAGAATTTCTGTTCTATTTTCTTAAAGTTTTGGCAGGATTGCTTCTAAACTAAGGTAAGGCTGGTTTCTCAGCTTGCAGATCTCTTTTATCCTGCCTTTAATCAGCTTCCAAAGGAGAGGGGTTTCTTCACAGGCCACAGACTGAGGCAAACCTTGAGTCTAGACTATCAACACCTACTTCCCTGCTTCCCTACCAAATGGAGTGGAAGTATGAGTCTTCCTTTGGGCAAAAGTGTCAGTCCAGCCTCCAAGATTCTCTCCTAAATACCCTATTACATGGAATTGTTTGGAACAACCCCACCTTCTCATGTTGGCTCTTGCAATGGAAACTTTGATTTTTTTCTCGGAGAGTATTTCCCTGTGATGTTTTTCACCTTCTAAAGAGACTTACTTGCTGTTCGATCCATTGCTGGTGATAATGGTGCTCACTTTTGAGGGCTTTTGAACTACCCTATTCCAAGATTCTAGGTCCAGCACTAACTGTATAGGCCTCACCAGAATATCAGCTGTCCCTTCCAACTGTGTATGAACATAGATAACTCCTTCCCTTGCCACTGAGACTCAGTACAAATGGGAATCAACATCAGGGTGATGCATGCCTTGCCTCTCAGTCATAGCTTGATTATCCTTCCCAAATAATAAGCTGGCCCTCAAACAAGGGATCCAACAATTTCAATAAATAGAGCAGCCTGGGTTGGTGGGCTGGGGTGCAGTGGTGGGTGGTGCAAACGAGCAATCCAAAATGAAGACTGAAAATGTACATGCTTTTCTGTATTTTGCTGTTTTGCTCAGTTTCTTATGATGTTATCACATAAGAGTTTTAAACTTAATACTTATTTAAATTGAATTGCTTGTTTATTTAAGTTCCTTATTTAAATTTTATATAGTCAAGTATACATATCGTTTTCCCCCCCCTGGGTTTCCTGCCTTGCTTAGAAATACCTCTTTTACCCTAGTTATATAACTACTCCCCTAATTTTTCTTGTAATGTTTTTGTATTACCTTTATTTAACCTATGTGGATTTTTTTAAACATAATACAAGCCCACTTTTATTTTCTTCCAAATGGATGGCCAGTAATGCCAGCACCATTTATTAAGTAAACCATACTTTCCTACTGAATAGACAAAAAATCTATTACCGAGCTCTTGCCTATTCCTATCCCACAATATTATTTTCTTTTTAACTTTTTAAAAATCATATTGTTTTGATTCAGCATCTCAAAGCAAGTTTCATGTTTTACACACACACACACACACACACACACACACACACACACACACACAGAGTTTTAAAAACTATTCTTGGACACTTCATTTTCCATATGAACTTTTTGATATTTTAACCAATTTCCCTTCAGAAAATTAAATAGGAATTCCACTAAATTTATATATGAGTTTTAGTAAGATTGCATTTTATTAAAAAAATATTTTTTTGGTTTTATTGAATTTTGAGACAGAGAGAGACACAGCACAAGTGGGGGGAGGTGCAGAGAGAGAGGGAGACACAGAATCTGAAACAGGCTCCAGGCTCCGAGCTGTCAGCACAGAACCTGGTGTGGGGCTCAAACCCACGAACCATGAGATCATAACCTGAGCCGAAGTTGGACGTTTAACTGACTGAGCCACCCAGGCACCCCAGTAAGATTGCATTTTAATGGAATTGTTTTAATATCCCCAAATTTTAGACCCTGTTAATAAAACCTTTTTATGACTCTTGCACTTTGTTAAATGTACTCAAGTATTTTTTATAGATTTGTACTTAAAGTCAAAATGGGATATAATATCCATTTCCATTTTTACTATTGCCTGTGTAGAAAATGCTTTTAATTCTTCTACATATACCTTGTATGCAGCCAGCCCCTCAAAGTCTATCACAAATTCAAGTATTTATTTTCCTATATCCTCATGAGTTTTCAAAGTGTACAATTGTATATAATCCATAAATATTCTTAAATGTTTACCCCATTTCATTTTTTCATCTCACTGCATTAGCTAGGACCTCTAAAGCAATGCTTACCTATAATGGTAATAAAAAGTATCCTTGTCTTGGGGTTCCTGGATGGCTTAGTTGGTTAAACATCTGACTCTTGATTTCAGCTCAGGTCATGATTTCACTCTTTGTGAGATCAAGCCCCATGTTGGGCTCTGCACTGACAACACAGAGCCTGCTTGGGATTTTCTCTCTTCCTCTCTCTCTGCCCTTCCCCTGCTCTCTCAAAATAAATAAACATTTTTTAAAAAGTATCCTTGTTTTGTTCCTAACATGCTGAATGCTTCCACATTTCACCACGTAGTATGAAATTTGCTGCTTCTCATAAAATCTTTATCATCTTTCTTCTTCCTATTTCACTAAGCCACTTAGTTCTTATTCAGAACAGGCATTGAATTTTGTCAAATGACTTGTTGGCATAGATTCTCTTCTTTAAACCATTCATTTAATGAATTACATTGACATATTTCCTTATATTGAACTAGCTTTGTCAGATTGTATCTTCTCTTGATATACTATTGAATTTGATTTGCTAATGGGACGCCTGGGTGGCTTAGTAGGCTAAGCGGGCCAACTTCATTCAGCTCGGGTCATGACCTCATAGTTTGTGGGTTGGAGTCCCAGGTCAGGCTCAGTGCTGACAGTTCAGAGCCTGGAGCCTGCTTCGGATTCTGTGCTTCCCTCTCTCTCTGACCCTCCCCCACTCACTCTCTGTGTCTCTCTCTCTCAACAATAAGTAAATATTTAAAAAAAGAATTTGATTTGCTAATATTTAGGACACAAAGCTATATTCATAAGTGAGACATCTATGGTTTCTTGTATTGTCTTATCAAGTTCTTGCCAAAGGAAAAATTGGAATCAAGGAAAAACTATACATCTATATTTTACATACAAAAGGCTGTACATAATAATGTGTACAACTTAATGAGGTTGGGGGGAAGTATACACTTCTGAAACCGTTATCATGGTCTATGCCATAAACTTACCCATTACTCCCAGAAGTTTCCTTCTACCCTGTTTTTATTTATTTTTTATTATTTATTATTTTTATTTTTTGTGGTAAGAACACCTAGCATAAGATCTACCCTCTAGGGGTGCCTAGGTGGCTCAAGTGGTTGAGCATCTGACTCTTGATTTCAGCTCAGGTCAGGGTCCCAGGGTCCTGGGATTGAGCCCAGCACTGGGCTCCATGCTGAGTATAGGGCTTGCTTGAGATTTTCTCTCTCTTTCTCTCTCTCCCTCCCCCCTCTGCCCCTCTCCACCACTCATACTCTTGCTCTCTCTCTAAAATAAAAATGTTTTAAAAACATCTACTCCCATAGTAAATTTTTAAGTATATAATGCAATATTTTTAATTAAAAAAATTTTTTTAATGTATTTATTTTTTGAGAGACACAGAGCACAACAAGGAAGGGGCACAGAGAGAAGGAGACACAGAATCCAAAGCAGGCTCCAGGCTCTGAGGTATCAGCACAGATCCTGACTCGGGGCTGGAATCCACCAACTATGAGATCATGACCTGAGCAGAAGTGGGACGATTAAATGACTGAGCCACCCAGGTGCCCCTATAATGCAATATTGTTAACTATGAGCACTGTGCTGTACAGTAGTCTCTAGGATCTATTTATCTTGTATAACTGAAAACTTGTGTTTTAATGGAGATTTTTAAAATGCTATTGTTGTTAAGACAAAGAAAGGAACATGTTTAAATCTTAACAAAAAGGATCCAATAGAGGAGTTGAAGATAAAGGAGAAAGGATAATTGACTGTAATTTCAGAGAAAGTGAAACAGATCCAGAGAATAAATAGCAGGGTTAGTAGAGGGATACCTGAATTTTCATCAAATAGAAGAGACTCAGATCACTTAGATTTGGAAGTTTAGTGGCCACCAGTTAAGGGAGTTTTCATATGATGGCTTTTATTTTTTCTATAGTAACACTAATTATGCTGAAAGATATTTTCATTTATTTATTTATGGATTTATACATAACTATTTCAAAGTGTAGGGGTATTTGGGTGGTGCCTGGGTGGCTCAGTTGGTTAAGCATCTGACTCTTGATTTCAGGTGAGGTCATGGTCTATGTCCTGAGATCGAGCCCCAAGTCAGGCTCCATACTACAGGCTGAGCATGAAGCCTGCTGGAGATTCTCTTTCCCTCTCCCTCTCCCCTGCTTGCACTCTCTCAAAAAAAATTTTTTTTTTTAAATCTAAGTGCAAATGTTGCCAGAAATTGAGATTTTTCTGCAAGTTATACACATCTTGTTTTTAAAAACAAAGTTCTACAAGGACTTATAAATAAAAATTTCACTTTCTACTTCCAGCACTCAATTTCACAAGGAAACAAAAATCCATGACGCTTTAAAACAAAATCAGACACAAAATGTTGCTGCCATAGAAAATGATGAATTAAGCAGAAATTTTTATTTCCAAGCTCATCAAAGATAATTACAAACACAAATCAAGTATCCTTTTAAAAGTGTACCAAATTCAATCAAAGGCACATCATCAAAGTATAACCTACTTGTGACATTAAGAATTCATTTAGGCTGTAGTATTTTCACATTATTTTGTTTTTAATCATTTGCAATGTTCTGAAGATAACATTTAAACATTTTTTTAAGACCTAATTTGTTTTGTTTTAGATTTTTTAAGTACAGCCACAACTATAAAATAGAGGAACTTAAGAAGACAATGACCAAATCTGCTTCATACACAGGATGGGGCAATCTAATACACAACACAACATGAATCTTTCCAAATAAGTTTGTTAAGAAACAGCTCCCATGTTTAGTGTTACAAATAACAATCTTCTCATTTAGAAAAACCAAGACATCATTTGATTGATAAAGCCTATTCTTCCCCCAGTTTTACACTTGTCTTCATTTAGAAATTGTAACTTCACAAGAAAAGAACAAGTTTTGTTATGGTATAAAAAAATCTTAGGAACAACAAATTACAAATATTCAATTTTTTAACAAACAAAAATGTTTTCCTTCCCAAAATGTAAACATCCAGTAAATAAAACATAATATTCTAGGTATAGAAACACCAGTAATTCGCTTATGAAAGAGGTGTACTTGGTAGTAATATTTTTGTTTGTCTTAAATATAAAAGAATTTTACCAAAAGAATCAGGCCATTATTATTTAAAATCTACTCCTTCACCCAGTTTCCTTATCTGAGTAGAAACTCATCAATTTCTATGGAATTTTGGCTAGAGATCCAGGCCACAGGAAAGGTATGAAATGTCTAAAAGTCATTTGGCTGGAGAAAAGTGTTCTCTTGAGACTTGGATGCAGTTATTCATCACTTGTGCTTAAAAGCATTCCTCAGTAAACTTCTTCCCTACTGGAAAGAGAATTAGGTAGGTTTTCACTTTATAGTAAGATTTATACATAAAATTAACCAGTCATCATTTCAGGTCACTTTAGTGTTCTCAAAGTATAAAGTAACAATATAGAAAACATCCAACTCAGACCACTGAATGAGTAACACCCATTAAAGTGCTTTGTAAAAAGGAAAATGCTATGCCAGCATTAGACTATTATTTTAATACCATAAATGTGAACATTTTCCATTAAGAAGTACAATAGTATCTGAGAGTATGATTACTTCCTTCTTGTTAATATGAGTAATTCCTTTTTGCAAATATATGAAAAAAGACCTAAGATGATTACTCACTGTATGAAAACCCCTCAGAACACATAATTTGAAATACATTGGTCCCAAAAGACTCCAGTAATCTATACCCTGACCTCTTCCAACAAAAGGAAAAAAACAAGTGAAAATGTGAATGAAACCCCATACAACACATTAGGACCTATGAAATTTCTAATATGCCACCACAGAGGTGCTTTCATTTCAGTAATCCATTTTTAAAGTTCTTTTAACTCTACCCACACGTTTCCCTAATAGCTACATTTCTTCCATTAAAGCAGATCCATTCTGAAAGTCTCCAGGAAAGAAATCACAGCTGGTGGTATGAACAAGACTCCTCTGGGGAGTTCTTAGTCCCCAGGGCAGCAAGTCACTAATGGCACCGAGCAGCAAATCACAACTGTGGGATGGTTTCAGGACAGAGATGGTGGGACTAAGGTCGTGAAATTACTATCAGCCAACTCGGTTAAAGAGCTCAAGTACAGGGGCGCCTGGGTGGCTTAGTCGGTTAAGCATCTGACTTTCGCTTAGGTCATGATCTCGCGGTTCATGGGTTCGAGCCCCGCGTCGGGCTCTGTGCTGACTGCCAGCTCAGAGCCTGGAGCCAATTTCAGAGTCTGTGTCTCCCTCTCTTTCTGACCCTCCCCTGCTCACGCTGTCTCTCTCTCTCTCCTAGAAATAAATAAAAAATAAAAAAAAATAAAAAAAAAAAAGAGCTCAAGTACATAAGGATATTAACATCTCAGGAGTTCGTGCCAAAGAGGATTGAGACTCTCTTAATGAGATGTATTTCACAGGCAGGCAACTCGAGTCACCTTCAGGGAAAGTTGTGCACTTTGCTATTGCTATTTTAATTCCCCCAACAACAGATTTTCACAACTCTGTTGCCCAATCCCTTGGGGAACCCTGGGATGCCAGAGCCCCAGACAGCTAGGTGGTGTACCGTTACTCACCGGCCTTTAGAATAGAGCACAGGATCTGGGCTCCCGGAAGGGGTTGCTTCCAGCTGGAACACCTACCAGCAGGGCGTCCTTGCAGGCGTTCTGCATGCAGTACTGTTGAAGCTCTGCAGCGGCCTGCGAGACCTGAAACAAAGGGAAACAAAGGGACTACAGCTTGACATGCTGCTCACAGCCAGAGCCATCCAGCAGCCCTTTGATACTCTGAAAAATGATCCTACAACTTGATAAAGGTCACACATCTTGTGATCTCCAGAAGTCTCTTTTTTGATGAAAGTTCTCATACTCGAAAGGGAAATATGACAATTTCTATAATTTAGGATATTTTTTATTCAGTTGCTTTTTCAATAAAGTTAAAGCTGTATCTTTGATCCATTTAGAATCCTAGTTATGAGACTGAACTGGTAAAGAAATAGCTCATTTTAGTGCATCCTTTACAAATTTTCACTTATAAAAAAGCATGCATTGATATATTCAGGTTTGCCATGTGAGCCAACTGTTTTAATATTTACAAGGCTGGAACCTTATCCAGTCTGCCCAGAACAAGTGACAAGTTTTCTCCACCATGCTTTTGAAGCAAGACAGCTTACTGGTTATGAGCACAGCCTCTGGAACCAGACCGCCTGGACTCAAATTCAGCTCCATCACTACCTGTAAGATCTTGGGCAAGTTAACTTAATTTCTCAGTTTTTGTTTTCTCATCTGTGAAATGTATTTTGTAATAGTACCTGACTCAGGGAGTTGAGAAAATTAAACAATCTAAATGCATGTAAAACACTTAGAATAGTGCTGACACAGTCAGCAATACCTTGTGGTAGATTGCAAAAACAGTCACAATATTTTGCAGTTCCTCTCACCAAGAGTCCGTACCCAACTCTTGAATCTGGGCTGCCCTTGTGACTTGCTTTGACCAGGAAAATATGGCAGAAATAATGGGCAAGTTCCAAGCGTAGGCCTCAGGAGCCTTTGCAATTACTCCTGCTGCGGTTTGAACGCTAAGACCACATCTAATGAGCCCAGGCTAGCCTACTGGAGATCATGTGGAGAAGAATCAGTGAGCAGTTCCCACCACCTGCCTACCAACTTCCAGACATGTAAGTGAAGCCATCCTGGATTATCCAGCTACCAACCAACCCTCCATTTGATTGCAGATGCATGGAAGAGCCCAGCAAAGAGCAGCCGAACCCAGTTCAAACTGTAGACCTAAGAATTGTGAGTTAATAAATGTTGCTTTAAATCACTAAGTTTTAAAGAAGTTTACTAGGCAGCTTACTTTTCCCTCAAAAGAAGTTCTGACATTTTCATGTTAATTATAATTGAAATTAATGGTTATAAATAAGTTATTTATTCAAAAGGAATTTAGAACCAATTATGCTCATGCTTACTATCTTTACATCAGATGGAACAGATGAACTCCACACATGATAGGTAAGAGGAGACCACCTTCCAGGACCCCTGGAGAAATGGGACTAACTGGACTCCAGCCTACAGAACATAATCAAAAAGTTGAAGAGATATACAGAGAAAATAAAAGAATAAAAGTGGTCACCATTTTCTAGCACTTTTATGGAAAAGAGACTCTGGAGGGGGTAGGATACAAGCCCAAACACTTAGAAGCTGTCACTGCTGTTGGAGGTGAAACACCCAAAGTATATGACCTTCCTTCCTTTGAGTGCATGCTAACAGCAACTTCTGAGAGACTTCTCCAAAACAGAGAAGTGGCCCTTGGAAGAATATGGAGCATTCCAATCATTGGGAAGGGATGCCCCCCCTTATATGCTAGAAAATTAATGTCCTGGTTTATTTACCAGTTAGCAAGTCTGCTCAAGAGAAGACCTCTCTGGGTGTGCTGAGAGCATCCATTTATCACTGAGCCCTGAAATGAGGCAAACTAGATCCTGGAATGTTGTGACTCCCTAAGGTGCTGCCTGAGAGAAACCCACCAAACACCTGAAACCAGATTACCATGAGAATACTCCACAAATAAGCTTATTTGTGTGACCTAGAACAATTGACTTGAGTTTTCTGGGTCTGTTTCACCACCCATAATTATTTTTTAAATGTAGAAAATATCTTCCCTGGCTAGTCCACAGGGTAGGCAGGCATCTGGCTTGCAGGTCTCCTTTCCATCTCAGGGGCCAACATCATCTTGAACATTTTTCGACAATCCTAGTTTCAGTTCCCTGACCTCCTTTCCTCAAACAACCTTCTCCCCAATGCCAAAAGTTACAGCCAAACCTATAGCTGCTCCACATCTGAAACTTCACACTTCAACATCCTACCTTCTGATCACAATCTCTCCTATCCATCCAGAATGCCACTTCCTTTCTTCTTACTGTTCTAAGGGTTTTATGTGCATTTAGTTCATTTAATTGTCTCATCAACTCACTGAATCAGGTAGTATTACAAAATACATTTCACAGATGAGAAAACATAAGTGGGAAATTACGTTACATTGCCCAAGACCCTATAGGTAGTAATGGAGCTGAATTTGAGTCCAGGCAGTCTTTGACCTCAGGGAGAACACCTCCTCCCCTTTTGCCCTTCCCATCACCAGCAGGCTGACTCCATTCCTTCTCTAACCAACCTATGTTCAGCCTCTTTCTGGCCAACTCCTCAAACTCCTTGCCCTCCACCTGACTTCCATCTTTCCAGCATACCTTCGCCCACTACTTGGATCAACTACCATTCACCTTGGGCACTCAGAATCTCCAAGTAGGACAATCAGTCTCCAATCTCAAAGTAGCCGGGTCTTTAGAGTCACAACATGTCTAGGGATGTGCCTAGTTGGGGATCCTCTCCTATTCCCAACAGCACTTCCCCCCCCACCACTCTTGTGATTCCATTAGCTCCCTCCCATCTGCCCCGGAAGTAAACTTCACAGAGAAAATTGTGCTCCTCCAAATCCTTAAGTCCATATTCCTCTCTTCCTGTCTCAGAAGGTGCGCCTCCAATCCCATAACACCCCCAGAGTGTCTCCTCTACCTCCAATTCTCCTCCATTTGTTCCTCCTCAACCTAAAAATCGTTTGTTCCTTTCCCTCAACCTCGAAATAAGGCTTTTCATTTCCTAAATTAAAAAAATAAAAGTTGTTTCCTCTTTAAAACCAGATTTCTTTTTCTAAAAAAGCCTGTCTAGCCTATTACAATCTAGATTCTACTACCTATGTTACAAAATCCTCTTCTGTGTTCCATAACTCTCTTTACCTTGTTTTATAATCTTCACTTACGGCCTGAAATTATTTTACTTATTGGTTAATGTGTTCATTGATGATCTTTGCCACAATTATCAACATATTCTCAGCACCTAAAATAGTGCCAAATACAGAGAAAAGGTACTATGTAGGCACCTGGAATATCACAGCAGGGTTTATTCATACATACGAACATACATTCTAATAAGAACGTATGCAGAATACTTGTTCATTCATACGAACATACATACTCTAGTCGCTCAATACAATTATACCACAGATGCTTTCCAATCAACTGACTAAACACTGGACATCATGACTAAGTCCTCAATTTTTGAAAACCCCTCCTTCCTTGCTTCCTCTTGGTTCTCTCCTCTCAGTCACCTTTTGGCTGGTCCTGGGTTCCACACGCTGGTTTCTTCGTTAATACACTTTTTTCACCCCCATACATTCCAATTCCCTCTTTCAGTTTCTTGTGCTCTGAGCTTCAAACACCTGGACTTATCTCCGCAAAGTCCACAAGTCCAACACTGAACTCATTTCCCGATCCCGCTCTCCTTCCTCTCTGCCGCGGTGCAGGACCGGGCCCTACACCCCGTCACCACGCCGCAAACCTGAACCCCGTCTTCGTCCACGCTCTGGCTCTCGTCCCATGAACCCATCAGCGACGCCGGTCTCCGTCGCCTCCGCAGGCGGGTACCAGCCCAGCCAGGCCTGCCGCGCGGCGCGGGCATCCCGGGTCTGCGCGCGTGCGCCCCGCCCCGCCCCCCACACCCCGAGTCGCCGTCCGCGCCGCCTACAGGGAGACGCCCCCAGGGCACTCGGCCCCCGCCGCGCTCCCGGGGGCGCGCTCGTCTCCCCCGGCCCACCAGGCCCGGCCTCCTCCCTCGGGCCTGTCCCCGCCGAGCCCCGGCACCTAGCCGGGGCCGGGCCGCCGTCCTCTTCTCTCCCGGCTCCCGGGCGGGGGCGGCCGCAGAGGGGAGGGAGGTCCCCGCGCCCTGACGAAAGGGCGCCGCCGCCCGCCTCACCTTGATCCTCTCCACGCCGGCCTCCAGCTTGAGCTGCTCCACCAGGCGCTGCAGGGCGTTCACGCTGGCCCCGGAAGACATGGCGGCGGCGCTGGGCTCCGAGGGCGGGCGAGCCGGGCTGCGGGAGCCGAGAGGCCCGGAGCCCGAGCACCGCCCCGGGGCGGGGAAGCCGCTGCGCCCGCCCCGCCGCCCGCTGCCCCGCCTCCCCCGGCAGCCTCCCCCCTGCTCGACTAGAGCCGCAGGTAAGCGGCAGTGGGGTAGGGGTGGGGGAGGGGGGGTCCCGAGTCACCTGACACTTAACTCTCTCTGCTCTCTAAACATGCTGAGGACCAGCTCCTGCGCCTAGACGCGGAGGCGCCCTGTGGGCCCACGCGGGGCGCCCGTCGCCTCAGCGCTGCGGGGCTTCCGGAAGAGCGGGCGCGACCTGAGGGGGTTGGGGGGGCGGGGGGAGGAGACGCGCCCCTGAGAAACCCTAGCCGTGACTCCGGTGGCTGCAGCCAAGGTGGCAGAGGAGTTGAAGTAAGCTCGTGAAGGCTCCCGCGCCACGCTCAGATACTACCTGGGAGACACCAAGGACGGTTGGTAGGAGCCCCATGAAACGGTGACCGTCTGTAAGTCACCTGTACCGTTTCACGAGGATCCCGCCGCTTGACTGGGTAGGTAAGGTCAGCAGGGCAAAAATCCCTGGCCCTGGCATCTTGGCGGAACGTAAGAAGAAAAGGAAATTCAGCCCCACCCCCCACCCCGTCCCATCTCACCATTTACTTATAACCATTGTTTCTGTTGTACTGCATCCTTTTTTAAAATTGTGTACGTGGGTTTGTTTTACAAAACTGGAATCATTCCTGTGTGTAAAATATACATGTTTTGTGTTAATTTTTTCACTTAATGTATCATGAATGCTGCCTATTATTGTACAGCATAGTACAGTAGTAGGTCCGTGAGCCACACAGGTTGTTTTTGTTTTTTTGTTTTTGTTTTTTAATGTTTGGTTATTTTTGAGAGAGAGAGAGAGAGCGTGAGCAAGGGAAGGGCAGAGAGAGAGGGAGACCCAGAATCCGAAGCAGGCTCCGGGCTCTGAGCTGCCAGCACAGAGCCTTTGTGGGGCTTAAACTCACAAACGGTGAGATCATGACCTGAGCCAATGGCAGCTTAACGGACTGAGCCACCCAGGCGCCCCAGCATAGGTTTGAACTGTGCCATTGCACTTATTCGTGAATTTTTCTTCAGTGCAGTACTGAAAAACATTTTCTCTTCCTTACAGTTTCCTTAATGTTTTAGTTTTGCTTTATTGGAAGAATGCAGTATATATTACATACAGCAAACAAAATATGTGTTAATCAACTTTGTTATTGATAAGGTTTCCAGTCAACAGTAGGCTATTAATAGTTACTCTGGGGGGAGTCAGAAGCTATATGTGGAGTTTTGACTGCATGGGGTCAGTGCCCCTACCTACCCACTCTTTGATACCATTGTTCAAAGGTCAACTGTATTTGTCAGAACTCACGTAAATTGAGTAATGCAAAAACACAATATTTTGGCTTGCGTACCTGAAAAGCCCAGGCACTTTAACGTAGTGGATTTAATTGCCCAAATAGTAGCTTTGGGGCTCTCTTGGCTCTGTTTTTTCTGAGTGTTGGCCTCATTTTCTTCAATGGTAAATAGACTCTCTAAGAGGTGCTGTGAAGAAAAGTTCCATGTTTTTATTGTCCCAGCCTGGCAGACTCAGGAGCAAGAGCATCTCTTTTCTCGTTGTTCCAACAAAAACCCCCATACTGGATCTCACCAACCTTATGCAGTCATGTGCCCACCCCGGAACCAATCATTATTCGAAAACAAACATTGTGTAGAGTCAGAATGCTCAGATTAGCTATGCCTGGCCAGGAGGAAGATGAGAGATGTACCACCCAATTTCCCCATTTAGGACTGAGTCACTCATTCCTCCAGCTGCTGGGAGTAGTCGCAGCTGATGCCTTCTCTGGGAACTGCCCTTAGCTGAGAACCGTCCCTCGCAGTGTCACCTCTCATCCACATTGATGTGGGATGTACAGGAACTGAACCCCAAACCCCTTGCCTCAAGTTGAAACAACACTGAAAGATGATCCACAGCTCCTTGCTGGGATCATCTGAGGCCTTTATGGCAACTACTTCACAGTTCAGTTCCTCCCTCTGCCCAATCCCCATTCCCTAGATTCTCCCACAGGTGTTGATCTTGACACTCCCCAATAAACTTTCTGCGTGAAAATATCCATCTTAGAGTCTGCTTCTCTGAGGAACCTAACCTAAGACACGCAGACTACATGGACTGAGAAGGGTAGGGAAGAGTGATTCCCCAAAGGAAAACCAGGATGCTGATCCCAGAAGGGGGCCAGGGGTAGTCAGAAAAGATGTACCCTACATCTATTTCTTTTAATGACTGCATGGTATTCCATTGTACAACTGGATCATAATTTACCTACTGCCCTGTTAACACTATGATGACCGCCTTAAACATACAGCTTTGTGCATGTCTTTTTTTTTTTTATACATTCCTAAAAGTGAAATTGATGGCTTACAAATATAAAGTTTCTTAAACTTTTCCCTCCTTTATCCTCCAGAAAGTGGTAGTAATTGCTATTCCCACCAGAAGACTGCTTATTTCTCTGCATCATCATAATTCGACATTGTGGTTCTTTATCTTTACCAGCCTAATAGATTGGTATGTCATCTCAAATCTTTTAAATACCTTAAGTGTTGAGACTGAACATTTTGTGTGTGTGTGTGTATAGGAACTATGTGTTTAGTCTTTGGGGTATTAAAGTTTTTCTTATGACAAGAGCAGATTTGCAAATTTTAAAGCCCTCTCTAGTGACAAGTTCCCTCACCTCAAAGAACTTAAAACACACTCTAGTCAAAATATGAAACTACATGTTAGAAACATTACTAGATTGGTGAGTAATACAGAATAGAATGGTTATGTGTCAAAAAGATGTAGCAAAGAACTCAGAGCAAAGATACAGACTGGAAGGGTTAGAGAAAGCTCTTCATAAATGGCAGGACCTAAACTTTGAAAATGTGTGTCCTGCACAGGGCACAGAGGATGGGGAAAGCATTTCAACAATGGGAGAGCAGGCCATGTACACATGGAATGAATGAATGAATGAATGAATGAAGGCTCTAGGCAGTAATAGAAGATACAAAGCTGTTAAGATTTGAAGTCACAGAAAACCTCAAAAGAAACAAAAGTTTGTGGCAAACAATGGGGTAGCCACATGGTATTAACACATTTTAGGAGTGTTAATCAGGATGAGGATATGAAATGAACTGAAGCTGAGGAAACAAAATGACTTCAGTAATGGTGTTTTGTTTTGTCTTTTTGGTGGAGAGAGTGGTTGGGGTGAGGCCTTAGATAGGACTATGAGGGAAGGATGGAGAACAAATTCAAAAGACTAAATCAGGAGTACTGCATGGTGGTTATAAAGTGCAAAGGAAAGGGGAGAAAGCGTTCTGAAGCAGAGTGGACTAGAACTGATGCTTGCAACAGATGTCAGGAAACAGGCCTATGTTTGAAGGGAGGAGTAAAGAACAGAGTGAGTTTGGTTTAGGAAAAACCAAGTCTTTAGCTACATGCCTCTGGGATGTTGGAAATGTTAAGTGGCAAGATGTTGATGTGGGAGACATCTCACAATGAGCGCTGAAGCAGTGAGATTATCTCTAACTAGAAAAGGCAGCTTCGAGGCTGCCCACACTGAGGGGACACATAATATAATACTTGTGTATCAGCCATAGGTAGGTGTGTCCCATCTCCTTCCTTGATGCTGTATACACCCACCATCTCTGCCCACCTCGGTGTGACTGATTGCACTACTCTTGGAGAGGAGTGGTCGGGTGTGGAAAGAAACACCAAGGTTTTAGCATACAACCTCCCACAGTGATCCATGGACAAGCAAGCGTGGTGCCAGTTGTAATTGGGGAGGGCAGACCATCTGTGTTTGGCTTTATACTTTACCAAAATGACTTCTCATCCATTATTTTTGTATCAGGAACTTCAGAGTTGAAGAGATTCAGATAATGTAGTTCATCCCAATTAAATTTATTTTTTTAATGTTTATTTATTTTTGAGGGAGAGAGAGAGAGGGTGAGAGAGATGAGTGCACAAGCATGAGCAGGGTAGGGGCAGAGAGGGGGAGGCAGAGGATTGGAAGTGGGTTTCTCGCTGACAGCTGAGAGCCCAATGTAGGGATCGAATCATGACCTGAGATGAAGTCAGAGGCTTAACTGACTGAACCACTCAGGCGCCCCATCCCAGTTTTAGAGATGAGGACTCTAAGATGCACTAAGGAAAATGACTTACCTGGTATCTCACAAAATGGGAGGAGGGAAAAGAACTTTCATTTTAGCTTTCAAGTGAAGTCACCGCTTATCTGGGGGAGTAGAATCTGTTCCCACAGATGTAGTTCTTTCTAGAGCTCTGAAAGGAGCTGAGGCCTAGGGACAAAAAATCCTTTACTCCTTACCTCAGCTAAAATGAACAGATCACCGGTGTGTGTGTATATATACATATATATATATTTTTTAAATGTTTATCTTTGAGAGACAAAGTGCACAAGCAGAGGAGGGGCAGAGACAGAGGGAGATACACAATCTGAAGCAGGCTCCAGGCTCTGAGCTGTCAGCACAGAGCCCAACATGGGGCTTGAACTCACAAACTGTGAGATCATGACCTGAGTGAGCCAAAGTTGGACATCTAACCAACTGAGCCACCCAGGCACTCCATCAATATATTATTTTAAAGAATTTGTTACACATTTTTTCTTGGCTAAAATAAGAACTTATAATACAGACCAAAACCACAATGAGATACCACCTCATATCTGTCAGAATGGCTAAATAACACAGGAAACAACAGATGTTGGCAAGGATGTGGAGAAGGGGGAACCCTCTTAGACTGTTGGTGAGAATGCAAACTGGTGTAGCCACTCTGGAAGACAGTATGGAGGTTCCTCAAAAATTTAAAAATAAACTTACCTTACAACCCAGCAGTTGCACTACTAGGTATTTACCCAAAAGAAACAAAAATAGTGATTCAGAGGGGCACATGCACCCCAATGTCTACAGCAGCATTATCAACAATAGCTAAATTATGGAAAGAACCCAGATGTCCATTGACTGATGAAAGGATAAAAAAGATGTGGCATGTGTATACACATACACACACACACACACACACACCATGGGATATTAGCCATCAAAAAGAATGAAATCTTGCCATTTGCAATGCTGTGGATGGAACTAGAATGTATGATGCTAAGCACAATAAGTCATGAAAGACAAATACCATATGATTGCATTCAGGCGGAATTCAAGAACAAAAGATGAACATAGGGGAAGGGTAGGAAATAAAAAGAAAGGGAAGCAGACCATAAGAGACTGTTAATTATGGAGAACAAACTGAGGGTTGATGGAGGGAAGTGGTTGGGGGACAGGCTAAATGGGTGATGAGGATTAAGGAAACCTGTTGTGATGAGCACTGGGTAGTCTATGTAAGTGATGAATCCCTAAACTCTACACCTGAAACCAATTTTACCATATATGATAACTAACTAGAATTAAAATAAAAACTTGAAATAACATAAGAACTTAAAAATTTCCACTGTTTCTAAGAATCTCAGTACTTTTTAGAAGTGTCAGTGTCCTGGGTTGGTTAAGTGTCCAACTCTTGATTTAGGTTCAGGTCATGATCTCACCGTTCGTGAGCTAGGCCCCTGAGTTGGACTCTGCACTGATAGTGCGGAGCCTGCTTGGGATTCTGTCTCACCCTCTCTCTCTCTGTCCCTCCCCTGCTTGCACTCTCTCTCTCAAAACAAATAAGTAAACATTAAAAAAAAAAAAAGTCAGTGTCCTTGTAGAGACCAGTGTTTTGTTTCCCTTTTATGATCTACACAATTCTTTACCTTCTGACGTGTGTTTTGTCACTTTTTTTTACTAACAGTGGGTTATTTTTCCAGAAAAGGGGCTTCAAATAACTCTTCTTCATAAAAATAATGATATAATGGGAAGGTATGTCTTTCTGCCAATGTTATGGCAAAATTACAATACTATATGCCTTCAGTTTTCTAAAATAATTTAAAAGAAACAGGAAAACACACCAACAACTATATTTCATGTGGCACAGTGTAATGTACCATAAAAGTCATTTCACCTCCTTATAGCCATTGCATTATTTTTAGAACTTAGAATCATGAATTAGGAGCTAAAGGCTCAGCAGCAGGTTTATAGATTTCAGCTACTTCCAAGAGGTTTTCACAGGCATTTTTGAGACTTTGGAAGTGGAACTTAGGGGTACTTGTCCTTTTGAACAGCCACTACAAGCATGCCTCTTTATCTCACTGATAGAGTCCTGTAGTAAATGTAGGCCTTAAACCAGAAAGTAGCTGATCATTGTTTGTTATCTCTGAAAGTTTGGTTTTTCTTGAGTTGTCACCTCAGCCATTTCACCTTCTATTCCAAGGGCAACAAAGGACAGGCAGCTGCCTCTAAAATCTACAGTTCCAACCCCTTGGAGCACCACTTTTTCACTTTAGCACAGTACCTTGCCCAAGGTAAGGGATTCAAATACCCATTAAAGGAATAAAGAAACCAGGGGTTTGTAGTCATCACTAAACATTCTCCTATTAACATAGATTTTAACAAATGAAAATGACTTCCCTGTTTCCTCTAAAAGCAAGAAAAACTCATTTATTGAACACTTAATATATGCCAGCACTTTGCCCCTATCTTGTTTAATTCTTAAAAGAGTCCTGTGACGTAGTTAGTAACTCTATTAAAAATGAGAAATTAGGGTTCAGAGGTTACCCTGCCCAAAGTCAAGCTACTAGTCAGTTGCAGAGCCAGAAGCCAAACCTTGGTCTATCCAACTACAAAGCTTGAGCCCTACCACTGCATCAGGCTCACTCTTCCTGAGGTTATAACAGAACTGCCAAACGGGAGGAAGTTTCTCCATTCCCTCAAGACATCCAAGGGGAGTCTATAAGAAACCGCATGTCGCTGACTTAAGACCATGTGATCCATTTCATACATAATTGTCAAAGATACTTTGAATCCTTTAAGTACTAGGAATCTGATTAAAGTTTAAAACTAATTATGTAGCTTTTTTTAAATACCCGTAACATGTCTTAATTGCAGGCAATCTAATTATATCAGACCCTCAACCTATATGAATTTGTATGCTTATTGAATTTTAAATCCTAAAAAGATCCCCTCATTTCACAGATGAGAAAACCAGAAAGGTTAAATAATTTGTTTAGCAAATTTTATGTAATTATTAGGTTCTAGATTTGGCCTCAGCCCATATTTAAATGTGAAGAGTATCACATTTTGGAAATAAAATACACTTCATACACTAGTTTGTGTCAGTACTGATATTTATCTCCCTCATGTACAATTACAAGTCAACAAAAATCATGTCTGATGTCTTAAAGTAGCTAGATCTATTTTAATAATGTCTAATAAAAGCCATTTCTCTTTACTTTACACAAAACCTTCCGTTAGGGGCCAGTAGACTAGTTCATAATCCTAGCTGAATGTTAGCTTAGCTTAGCAATGGCTTCCTTCCACTCAAGCAAAATATCTCCAAGGTTTGGGTGTTAAAATGTTTACTACACTGTCCAAAGCGGGGGGGGGGGGGGGGGGGGGGGGGGGGGGAGGGCGTGGAGAATCTCAAAAGAAATGAACTATGATTTTCTAAACATAAATTCAATAATACTAAAATGCTTGTTCGTTCTCTCAACTATTTTTTCATGTGACACTGCCAATTGTAGTTTTTAAGATAATATACATGGCACCTACCTAATAGATGTGATTTGAAACAGCAACTTGTGATTGGTAGAACTTGGGACAATTCATAAAGAAATAAGACCACTGAGGAAAGGGTTAGTAGTGGAATCTGTTATGTTGATATTTGACATGAATATAATCCTAAGAATAATTTTAGCACAGACCTCAAAATTATATGAAGTGATAATAGCAATGAATATTGCTATACACTATAAACCCGTAAACATCCATCAAAAAGAAATGGTTAGGGGCGCCCGGGTGGCTTAGTCGGTTAAGCGTCCGACTTTCGCTTGGGTCATGATCTCGCGGTTCGTGGGTTCGAGCCCCGCGTCGGGCTCTGTGCTGACTGCCAGCTCGGAGCCTGGAGCCTGTTTCAGTCTGTGACTCCCTCTCTCTCTGACCCTCCCCTGCTCACGCTGTCTCTCTCTCTCTCTCTCCTAGAAATAAATAAAAACATTAAAAAAAAAAATTAAAAAAAAAAAAAAAGAAATGGTTAGAGCCTTAAAATGAAGCACAAGGACAATTTTCTAACTACTGAGGTTGTGGGATCCTCTACCCAGAATTCTTCTCCAGATGGTTCTAAAACTGAGAAGCTTTTGTGGGTTTTTTGGTGAGGGGTGGACAGAGTATGGAGAGAGTAATATCCAGAGTACTTGAATAACTTGTAACTAATGGTTCTTTCTTCACTCTAGGATTTTGAAGCATAGTTCTTTTGTTGAGGGAAGGAAAGAGAAAAATCACAGTCTTTCTGTTAAGGAGAGTCCATGTATCTTGACCCATGCCACGATCCTGATTACAAAAGAGTGACCAAACTTTTATCACGTGAGCAGGCTGATGGGGAGGGCAATTCCAGAAATAGTTTTCTAGAAAGCCAGGGAAAATATAACAATCTAGTAGATATATAAAATAATATCCAGGGGTGCCTGGGTGGCTCAGACAGTTAAGCATCCCTTTGGCTCAGGTTCTCACGGCTCATGAGCTTGAGCCCTGCATCAGGTTCTGTTCTGACGCTCAGAGCCTGGAGCCTGCTTTAGATTCTGTCTCCCTCTCTGCCCTTCCCCTCCTCATGCCCTGTCCCTCTCTCTCTCTCTCAAAAACAAATAGGCATTAAAAAAAATTTTTTTAACCAAAATAATGTCCAACATAGTTTGTATGAGCCAACCTTTATGAATGTTAACAGTTACAGCCAGTCCTTTTATTATTCCTTACTACTAAGTAAAAAGTACCTAGAATACCATGTTTCTTTGAAATTTTAACAGAAGGGCAAGTACCTATATTTCTTTTTGGTCCCTATAACCTATGGCTCATATTTCAGCTCTTAGATGATAAACACTATTGTGTGCTAAATATAATGATTTCTAAGACAGGAGGTTGCTGACTGCAGATAACCACAGCGCCTCTGAACAACATTTATCTATGGTTGGGCATTTTTGAGGTTTGAAACATAGCTCTGTAATTTCTCCACCCTCCTAAAGAAAAATACATGTACAAAACACTTTTATCTAAACAGAACTGCCAAAGGATCTTACTGGTAACTAGTTAAGCTCCTCCCCCAATTTTCCATTTAATGAGGCAACTGAGGCCCTCAGTCATAGGTTAAATGACTGACAATGATAAAACTCTTCCCTCCTTGCCTCTTTGTATATGTCACATTTGGGCTGATCTCCTGAAAGCACTAGTTTACTTTTGCTAGAAACAGACTCTGCATATCTATTATCTACACTAATCTTTTAAAACTATGTGATGCAAAAGCAGTTATCTTAATCCTTGATTTAAGATGTCATACCCTGGGCACCTGGGTGGTTCAGTCCATTGATTTCAGCTCAGGTCATGATCTCCTGCTTCATGGATTCAAGCCCCATAGTGGGCTCTGCACTGACAGTGTGGAGTCTGCTTGGGATTCTGTCTCCCTCTCTCTTCCTCATGCTCTCTCTCAAAAACAAATAAACTTAAAAATATATATATAAATTAAAAATTAAATGTCATACCCACAAACTTGTGACATATTGCAGCCATTTTATTAATATGAAGCAATGAGATACATCCTTTAACAGGAGTATTGTTTCACTACCATGATTGTGTATTGATACTCTGATGCAGTATCATACTTGCTTCAGTCAAATTATGTGTGAATTACTTTCACTTCCATATGTATAAAACATATATATTTCATTGTTTGAAAGAACAGCACACAGCCATGCACCTCCTCTTTCTGGTTTAAATGCATGTCAATACACTCATGTACACTGGATTTTTCATGGCTCGAAGACTTCATAATACATGAACAACTTTTCAGTACACTATTTCTGCTCCATTGTTTTTTATTTTAACTAAAGGGGTGGGGGAAGCCATACTGTGGTACAAAAGACCTTTTTACAAGGTCTCTTCTGGAAAAATGTTTGAGAATAGTTTTAGTCCTATAATGACTGTAATCAAGATCATCCTACAAGGACATGAAGGTAGATTCACTCTCCTGGAGAGTTTCTGATCTTATTAAGAATAGTACGACAGGGGGAAAATAGTATAAACACATTCTGGCAGAAGACTCTCCTAGAGAGATATTTTGAACATGTTTCAATCCTAGGATGACTGTAATGAAGATGACATGACAGTTGAAATAATTTTGCTGAAGAAGTTTGTGTCTAAAGACACAGTGTAATTAAATGCTGTTGTAATTTTTTATGTTTTGTTAAAATATGAGAAGTCATGGAAGCAGAAAAATGTAGCACTAGAACAAAGAATAAGGAAACACTTTTAAAGAATAAACACTTAACACATAAAAATTTTAAATGATATCTAATAAACTTTCATGTCAAATATTTTAACTAAACATACAAATTTTAAATGGCAACTAATAAATCTTCATGTCAGATCATTTAACAAAATCCACAAATAGATTATAAAAACTGAACAATCAAATGTCTTATGTATAAAGTTTTAAGGAAAGTTTAAATTTCTATATTATTCTGTTTAATCAGATATTTGAGGAATTTTAAGTACTGCTGAGGAGCAGTTGATACAATTCTAAAATAATTCAGCTATGAAAAATAATATCATAATTAAGGTTTGGCACAGCGGCATTCCAGCAGTCCTCAGTCATCCACAAATGTTAACCGTCCAGGTCCTTCATTCTTCATCCATCTCCTGTATCTCTTCCATCTAGGGTCATTTGCCAATTTTTTCTTTAGTTCTTCTTCTTGTTCTTGTTTATAAACCTGTATGTATAAATAATACTAAATGACTTTACCATCCAAAGGGAAACGTGTGTCATCACTTTTAGAGCATATTTACATTTTCCAAATACAACTTCAGGTAAAAGTTTCCTATGTATGTACTGGTTTGTCTTCTGAAGACCATACATCTAAAAATACTAAGCAATTAAGCACCTTAACATTCAGTGTTAAATTTTTAAAAAAAATTGTGGAAGAACTTAGTAATTTTTGTCACTGATTTCTGTAACCTAAGAATACATTCTTTTCCTCATTGAAATCATACTGATTTAAATCATACTGAGTTTAAAGGGTGTAAACATTTCCTCTCTACAATTAATATCCAAGATTAAAGAAGCACACTATTACTTTAATATAGTACTCTGAAAATTTGACTGTGACTTTCAGTATTTGTTAATGTTAACCAAGGAACAAAATGACCTTCTATATACACTTGTCTCCAAATTGAACTTATATTTACTTTTCTCTTCGAAGATAATTTTTGGTTTTTCAAAATATTTTACTAAGGTTCCCAAAGAGGGTTAAATAAACCACACAAGTTAAGAACAAAGAAAATCTTCATGAATGTTGGCTGAAGCTAAATGGACAAGTTTTTATAACCAATTTCATCAAATTTTAGAAAGAAATGATTTTACTACCAAATTTTAGGAAGTAATAACTAAGATCACCTCATATAATTAACATATAACAATTCAGCCCAGGATAGTACTCCATTAAAAATACAGTTTTATAAACTGGGCTGCTTACCCTACTTAGAAACTTTTCAAATAATTTAGGAGCAAAATAGTACATTACCTTCCATTTTTATGTCATTTACAAGCAGGCTAACTATATCTACTTGCCAAAACATTCTGGCAATTCATAATAAGTTACTTAAATATAATTCAGACTGGAACCCTACGTTCAGTAAAATCTATTTAGGATACCACCTATGAAAAGGATGTTGGGGTGCCTGAGTGGTTCAGTCGGTTGAGCATCCAAGTTAGTTCAGGTCCCAATCTCACAGTTAGTGAGTTTGAGCCCTGCATTGGGCTCTCTGCTGTCAGCACAAAGCCTGCTTCTGATCCTCTGTCTCCCTCTTTCTCTGCCCCTCCTCTGCTCACATATGTGAAGCATATGCTCTCTCAAATAAATAAATTAACTTAAAAAAAAAAAAAAGGAATGTCTATGAAACTAAAAAAAGAAACAAAAAACAAATACACTTGAGATTTCTTAAAGTCTCATTGTATTATTTTTCTTGTTTTGTTTTAAGTAAACTCTATCCAGTGTGGGGCCCAAACTCATAAGCCTGAGATCAAGAGTCACACTGGGGCACCTGGGTGGCTCAGTTAGTTAAGCGTCAGACTTTGGCTTAGGTCATGGTCTTGTGGTTCATGAGTTTGAGCTCTGTGTCAGGCTCTGTGCCAACAGCTCAGAGCCTGGAGCCTGCTTTGGATTCTGTGTCTTCCTCTCTCTGCCCCTCCCTCGCTTGCGCTCACTCCCTCTCTCAAAAATAAACAAACATTTTAAAAAGTAGGAAAAAAAGAGTCACATGCTCTATTGGGGTGCCTAGGTGGCTCAGTTGGTTAAGTGTCTAACTTTGGCTCAGGTCATGATCTTACAGATTGTGAGTTCAAGCCCCATGTCAGGCTCTGCACTTAGGACTCTCTCTCTCTCCCCCTCTTCCTCTCACTGCCCTCCCCTTCTCATGTTCTCCTTCTCAAAAATAAATAAATAAATAAACAGACAAATAAATAAAGAGTTACATGCTCTACCAACTGAGCCAGCCAAGGACCCCATCACTGTGCTTTATTATTATATTTAATACATTAATTAATTTTACCCCAAACCTAAAATAATATCATTATGATGAGATTACTAGTTCCTCTAGGACTTTGGGTAAGCAGTTGATCATCTCAAGGTAACTAGTATAGCTGACAATTATATAGCATTTATTAAACTGCCCATAATTTAGAGGCATTTAAAAAAATAAAAGTAACTTTCCATGTTAGTTATTATATATAGCACTTATTAAACTGCCCAAAATGTAGAGGCATTTAAAAAAAATTTTTTTTTAATGTTTATTTTTGAGAAACAGAATGGAAGCAGATGAAGGGGCGAGACAGAAGGAGAAACAGAATCTTAAACAGGCTCCAGGTTCTGAGCTGTCACCGCAGAGCCCAATGTGGGGCTCGAACCCACGAACCGTGAGATCAGGACCTGAGCTGGAGAGGCTTAACCGACTGAGCCACCCAGGCACTCCTAGAGGCATGTTTTAAAAAATAAAAGTAACTTTCCATAATATGTTAGTTACTATACAGAAGATTCTGTGCTCACTTATTTTGAAATGAAGTTATTTCAACAAAATTTCCATATCTTATTCCCTCTCTATTTTGTTTTTTTAATCTCTGTAGCTAAGTTTACAAGACAAAATACGGGGAACAAATTTTAATTACAGCAACTAACAGAAAGTTGTTATGACACCCTTGCAAACATAAATATTATCCCACTGCAGTTTAACACAACAAATTAGACCTTTCTTAAGATTTTCAGCATCAGTCAATTAAAGTATTTGAAGTTCATCTTTTAAGACAAATTATAGGTTAAAAAAAACACTGTCCCATTACCAAATATAGTCACACTTCTAATAAAAAATAGATCTTTATTATTTAAAATCTTGGATTTCAGAAATTAGAGTGCATTTCTGTGATCCCTTCTCATAAACCAAATCTTAACTTCAAATGTAAGATGACACTAAAATCCCAGCAGTGTACTCACCTCATAATTCTCCTTTATCCAGAGCTCCCGTTTAAGAAAAGTTTCTTTCTGATGATCTTCTAGACTATCAAACTGAGACTTTGACATCTTCATGGATTTACGAATGATATACAGTCTTTCTTCTTCCCCATATTCTTTGCCTTTGATGTTAAAGTTATAGATCCACCGGCAATACCAGACTATATACGAGCACAGGTGAAAAGGTGCTAAGAGAATCTGAAACAGGAGGAGATCACATATCTGTGGTTTCTGATAGCCTCCCTTTATATCTATTTTACTTTTTATAATGTTCTTTATGATGCTCTCCTCCTTGTCACGAATTTCCTCTTTGGACTTTTTGTTTCTGCCCTTCTCTTTGGCTTTTCCAAGTAACCCCTGCTGCTTGGCAATCTCCATGGCTTGGATACGGTATTTGGGCACTGTGGCTAGGTAGCTGATTGCCTTGTCGTAGCTGTTCCACCAGCTGAAAAACTGGAATATTTAACAAAGAAAAATGGGTCATTTTTACTACCAAAATGCATCTTGGTGAGCACCTTCCCCCACTCCCCCAAAAGCCATTCTGATTAAAAATAGAGATCTCAAGGGGTACCTGGCAGGCTTAATCCATAAAGCATGGAACTCTAGATCTCGGGGTCATGAGCTTGGCATAGTGCTTATTGAATTCAAAACAAAAAAAGGGACTACACTCATCTTTCTCTGTTAGTAAAAGATAAAATTGAATAATGCCCACATGTACATGGGATTTCAGGCTAGATAAATCAAGTAAGCCCTGAGCTGGGCCAAAAAGCCATTAATTCAGACAGGAGATACACAAGATCAGAGGACAAATCCATGGAATCACACCATACCTGTCATTTCACATCTTTATGAAATGGATTTCCCTAGATCACTACTAAAAAATATTTCTCTCTCTCTCTCTCTCTTTTTTTTTTTTTTTTTAAAGACTGTGAGACTGTGATCTATATTCTGGAGGACAAGTTAAATGGCAAAACTAGCCAGTGGGGAACTTATTTAAAAAAAAAAAATCACAGGATCCTCAGGCAACTATATTCATTCCCATCTCTTTCCTGAACCATCTAGATATATCACAGCAATGCTCATTATATTCTGAAGTAAAGGATTCAAATATGTTCGAACACATATTTGACTGGAAAACATCTGGGGTAGCTGGGTGGTTCAGCTGGTTAAGCATCTCTGACTTCAACTCAGGTCGTGATCTCTCATTCCCTCTCTCTCTCAAAACTAAACAAACATTAAAACACACTCACACACAGACTGTGACTAGAAAACATCTAACTTACTTCATGAATATATATAAAGTGTTTCATTAATTGTCAGAAAAAGACCTACTCCTCACAATTCCACACATTTCATTTGCTGTTTTGCTGAATGAATACTGCAGTTAAACCAATAATATCTTCAAACATTATAGTAGCAATCTATTAGGACTAAGGGGGAAAAATGTTACTAGGGTATCACATTATCTAAAACAGATAGGTAAAATTATCCCTGCTTTCCCCTCTGAAGGAAAAATCCTTCTGCAAAACCGGATACATTTAAAATACATGTTAGTTTCAATAGGATTTCTATCTGACATATAAAGTGACTCGCAAAAATGACTCGCATTTCTGGGAATTAAACTGCAGCAGTTTTCAGACTAGCAAATTGCTTCATTCTAATCATCTGACATGTTTTTTTCCTCTAAAAGAGAACATGACAGGTGTGGTTACTTTAAGAATAGTAGGAAAAACTCATTTCAAGCTGAAGTTAAATTTTTGTGACATTTTAAAAAACATGAAAAGTTATTACAGCTCTTCTAATATGTTTCAGTAGTTTTCAGCCCAAGCAAGAGTGCCCTTAACAGGCCGTGGAAATGTGTGGGACATCTTTGGTTGTTATAGTAATGGCAAGCACTACTGGCATTTGGTGGATAGCCACCAAGATTTATTAGGTCATATTAAAAAGTTAAGGTTTTGGGGGCACCTGGGTGGCTTAGCTGATTAAGTGTCTCACTATAGATTTCAGCTCAGATCATGATTTCACAATTCCTGGGTTCAAGCCCTGTGTTGGGCTCTCTGCTGACAGTGTGGAGACTGCTTGGGATTCTCTGTCTCCCTCTCTCTCAAAAATAAATAAATATTTAAAAAAATAAAGAAGAAGTTTAGGTTTCCCCCAAATTTAACGGGAAGTCATTGAAAAGTCCTACAAAAGTAATAGTATGATCAGGTTAATATTCACTCTGCCTGTTAGGAAGGAAATACTCTAAATGGAACAATGAGAAAAAGATCTACTGTTGAATTTTTTTATAGTTAAATAATGACATTCATCATTAATTTGGATTTCCCATTGACAAAGATTCCAGTGTTATCAATTAGTTAAAAAAATGAATATTTTTCTAGTTTAAAAAAATTAGTCTCAACTACAAGTAACATTTTATAAAAAGGTACTTCTAATTCAGTTTTAATGCCCAGCACTAGGCAATGTGCACTCAAGCTCACACACGAAGACATTCACCTCCATTAATACCAACCTGAAACACTGAAATAGCACATACACTGACCAAAATCACAACTCTAACATCCACTTTGGGGGCTAAGCGCCTGCTATAGTAATGGTAGTAATGGCTATAGTACTCTTCTGGATGATCCAGCATGTAATCATAATCTTTTCGAGTTTCTTCATCCTGTAAGATAACAAGATACTCAATTTCATAGGACATTTCATTAAATGGCCTTAGTTTATAATCTGTTAAGTCAAACAGAATTTTATACTCATGTAAGATTAAGCTGAATAAAAGAACTGAAACTATCCAAATAAATTTCCCACCACTCTTCAAAGGCACACATAAATTTGTTTCTAGAACTTTAATATTAGGTATAAAGCATAATAAAAGTAATCTCTCCAAATTCATAAATGTTGTTAGTCCTCCTGGAAAAATAAAAACATTTTAATAACAATTAACCATGCCGTTTTAGCCAGTGTTATGGTACTAGTAAGGATGTTGTCACGTTCTTTTAACTTCAGAACATGTTGACACCTACTTTCAATAATTATTGATAGGAACAAATGTTCCTCTCTATTACAGATATTCACCATCATTTTCCAGCCTTGTGTAGAAAGTCTTCTGTCAAAAGCAATGATTAAGACAACAAAAAGCAGACAAAGCCAGGTCTGTGCCTATAAAACTGAGTTATACTCATCTTCAAGAAACATAGTACAGTATAATGGTGAAAAGTTTAACTTTGTGATTTTAAGTGAAATCTTTGGCCTCTCTGAGCCTCGCTTTTCTTCATTTGTAAAACAGAGATAATATCTGCTTTACTAATTTTACAGGATTATTTCAAACATCAAGTGATAGAACATTATACAGAAACATATACAAATAAAGAATATCTTACTATTATTTTGTCACAGCCCAGTTCATAAATAAAGTAACATATAGATCTTCCTTAATTACACAAACACATTGGGGAAAGGAAAAAAAAAAAAACCCACAGCATTCTGAAATGCTGCTCTGAATGTTCACAAATAAAACATTTCTTAAAACCTCTAATTTTAATCAATTTCAAATAGAGAAAAGTGCTGATCTCTTACTGAGCAACATAGGTTGAAGAACTACTACACAGGGTTATGATTTGCTTTTTTAATCACACAGGAAACCTACTTTGTCCTTTTTAAAATTTTATTTATTTTTTTATTTTTTAAGTAAACTTAGGGTGCCTGCATGGCTCGGTCGGGTTAAGTGTCCAACATCAGTTCAGGTCATCTTTTCGTGTTTGGTAGGTTCGAGCCCCATGTCAGCCTCTGGGCTGACAGCTCAGAGCCTAAAGCCTACTTTGGATTCTCTCTGCCCCTCCCCCTCTCATGCTCAGTCTCTCTCTCTCAAAAATAAACATTAAAAAAAAAAGTAAACTCTACCCCCAATGTGGGGCTCAAACTCATGACCAGATATCAAGAATCACATGCTCTACCAACTGAACTAGCCAAGCACCTCCTATTTTGTCTTCTGTCCAAAAAGTGATGAAGAGTAAAACCACAACAAATTCTTTACTCTCTGTAAGACAGGGAGTACAACACAAACCATTATGAAAATTAAAAATCTTTTTTAACCTACAGGATGTCTTTCTAGGATGTTATTTAATATTCATAAAATTGTAAATTCTTAACTAAAGGCATTTCAAAATCTACACCCAGCACTCTACTACCACAGATGGAGGCTCTGAGGTCTATTCAGGACCTCCTGACTCCTCCAACATGCAATTTCTTAGATTTGAAATGAGTTTGCTAATGACAGAATCTCCTCTGTACCCATTAAAATCATTATATATTTTCTAAGAATTGTGAATTTGAGCACATTCTTACAATTCTCTTAGATTTGGTATGTTGAAAATATTTTTTACCTCTGACTAGAATTTGAAACTAGATAAACTAGTATCTAGTATAATGAGATACAAATATATTTAAAGTCTATTCTACAGCACTATTTGGAGGGTCAGTATAAGAACTGTCTGTTATATAGAGAGGGCTGAGCTCAGGCTGTTTTTATTTTCAAATTCACTCTTTGAATATTCTTTTCTGTCAACAAAAGATTTTCTTGTGGCAACTGCCACATGCTTCAACTGTCAATCCATTGTTCTTTCTATAAGCCATTGTATTTTACAGTTTCTAACCTAAAAAGGGCAAAACTTTATAGGGCATAGAGATAGCTCTGAAGACTAAAACCCATGTATCTTGATATATCTCATTTTGAGTATTTTAAGACATCTTTTAAGAATTTTTCCATTCTCCCTCTAGTTTTTGCATTTTGGACTAATTTTACAGAAATGTTCTGCTTTTGGCCTGAAGTCTTTGACTTTTAATTCAGCCTCCCAATCTTGGCAGATGTCTTTTGAAATGCATTTCTTCAACACAATTTATCTTGCTCCAATGCATTTTTACATGTAGTAGTTTTGAAACTAACTGCCATACTAAGATCAAATTCCTATAGACCTCCAGCATCATTATCTACACAGACTCCTTTGCCCAGCGTGACTGTACTCTTCCTGGTTAAAGAATACAACACTGTCTTTGAGTGTCATTGAAATCTGCTATGTGAATGTCATGGGTCCAACAGTTATCTTCTCTTCTGTGTTCTCTTATCTTAGTGAAAGTCACAATCCATAGAATGCAGATATCCCTATTCAGGCTTTTCACCCAGATCTTCCACCAGGGTCACCTTCTTCTCGCTGGTCCCTAAATTTGTGACTCACTTCATTGGGTCCTGAGCTCTTCTAACAGGATGGTCAACTAATGTTCCAGCAACGAGCCACTCCGAAATTGGAACCTTGTGTCTGGCCTCTCTGCTGCAACCAGATCCTGTGGGGGTCTATTCAGAGCCCTTTAATAAGTCCTCAAACTGATTCCCGCAAAAGGTCTCAGGATCAAGTGTGACTTCATAGGATGGTTTTCTTTTCTCTGGGTTCACCATAAATTTATGACCCTGTTTTTGTCACGATTAAAGACAAGAAGGGTTGACCACGTCCTTGTTACAGCATTTAAACAGCCAGAATCTTTACTCTCGGGTTTATAACTTTCTCTCCAGATTGAAGGAAATTATCGTAGGCTGAGGCATGCATAATATACTTTGGAAGGTGTTCCAAGGTTGGCACAAATTGGAGAGTTAGTTTTCAACAGTCTAAATCAAAATTCTACTCTCTAGTAGCCTACAAAGTTTAGAATCAACCTAGTAAGAACACAAGGATACCAGGAATACTAGCAAAAAAGAAAAAAAGAGACTAGGACCCAATTGAGAGCTACAGGTACATACGTATTTTAAAACCATTATATTTATTCTTTCTCCTACCCATCCTGGAACTCAGGTAGTCCTACAATTATTTTTTTCATCTCCAATGATTCCCTGTGGCTAGTAAGTTAAAATTTCCTTCACATGCAACAAGGCCCATAAGTAGTGCACTCTAACTTAGCAACATCTCATCACTTGCCCCTCTTTTGCCCATAGCAAACCTCAGATAGTAATTTCTAGAATTTGGTGTGTTCTTCCAGTACAGCATGCTCTTTCGTACCTATGTCTTTGAACATATAATTCTTTCTACCTCAAATGCCCATCCCTTTCTTCTAACCTCATGACCTCCTATTAATCCTTTAGGACACAAATGTCAGAGTTAGACCACTCTTATTACGTATGTGGCCTCTTTATTATAGCACTTATCACATTGTAGTCATTAGTTTTTTTTCTTTTCTTTGAATGAGAACTTCTGGAAGATAAGTAGGGTGACACATTAATCTCTGTATATCCAAGGCCTACCATAGTGCCTGGCATTCAGTAAATGTCATTTAAAAATCGAGTAAAATTTTATAAAGGCTCTCCCTCACTATACACAGGTCTCTATCTCACCAGGAAGGCTGGATGGGTGATTATTTCACAAAAACTTGGGCTTAGCAGAAATGACTGCTTGATTTCAAAGCTTATGAAAATATGCTACTGTGGCTAAAACGGCTTAAACCTTAAAACAGTTTAATGTCTTACCTTTCAATAAGGTAGTACTTTTTCTTTCAGCAATTTTGTGGATCTTAAGGTCCCAGGGTCAGGAGATTCCAACTTCTTTCCAAAACCAAAACCTTTATACTTGTTTCTTCCTCCTCTCTGTCCTGAGCCTTGACCAGCAGGGCAATAAGCTCCTTGTTTCTAATCTCTACAGGAAAAAATGGTGCTTCTGCTGGTGTCCACTCCACTCCCAATCCTCTGGGGCATATGCAGGAGGACTGGAACAGAACCACCAATATCTAGATCAAAAGTGAACAAGAGGAAACCCACAAGCAAAGAAAGCACTGAATCCTTCCTTGTCTTATGAAAGTGATCATCCCCTTCCCACCTCCCCAGAGGCAAAAATATATTATGTTCTTGCCCTTGAAGAAATAATGAATTGTTTGATCTCAATATACATAAATTGCAATAATTTGATATTGCAGCCACTTTTACATTAAAAAGTTTCTGTTACACAGGTAGTAGAAACCACTTTAGGTTGGATGTTAAAGGCCAGGAATCAATAATATATATTTAAAAAAACAGTAATATTTTTGTTCATTCTTAAAAATATATATTAATCTCATTTTAAAAGAAATACACACAAATGGATCCTTAAAAAAAAAAATAACATCTGTTCCCCTACATGTTTATCCAGGCCATTACATCCTACTATAGAGGAAGGAAATTCACTGCGGTCAGTTTCATTTCTCTCTGCTTCCTGCACCCAGTCACTAGTGCCACTGTCTTCCCATGTCTTCTCTTCTGTCTACATGTGGCGTCAACAACTTCCATGATTTGCAGTATCATCTACATACTAGTGACACTCAGATCTGCTTTTTCCTATGTCTTCCTATTTTCAAATATCTCCTAAGCATTTCCTAACGATAACATAGCTATCTCAAAACACACACACTCAAAAAGCAAATCTGTCCCTCCGTGTTTCAGTTAATAGTACAGTATCACCATCTACTTGGTTACCTAAGCTTCTAAAAACCTTGGTTATTTTCGAGTCAGCAAATTAATTACACAGGGCATTAAGCCTTGTGCTCAACTCAGAGGAGGATAAAAAGACAAATAAGATAACGTCCTGGTCTTAAGAACTCTTCCATTTAGAAGAATCTAGCAAGAAAAATGCAATTTGATGTACTAAGGACAAAAAGACTAACTCTGCCTGAGACCACTGGTGACAGGAACCATAGCAGAGAAGAAATAAGTCCTGGATCTTGAAAAGCAAGTACTATATGGTAAAAATCTGTTCCAGGCACAGGTGACAGCAAGTGTTAACATACAGAAGCATCAGTGAATTTAATGGATTCAGCAAAGGTTGAGCAGTAGGAAAATTTAGGAAGAAAGTGTAGTAAATGTGCCCAGGAAGACAGGCTTGGATAAGAGCCATGGAGAGGACCTTGTAATGCCATGCTGAAATACTAGAGTATTATTATCTGTGCTATTCAAAAATGAAATGTTTTAAAGCATGAAAACAATACCACTAAGTAGAAGTGTTTATTTTTCAAAGCTAACCCTGACAATATTGTGAAGAATGGAATGAGGGCACTTGGCTGGCTCAGTCCTTTAAGCGTCAGACTTTTGATTTCAGCTCAGGTTTGTGATCTCACAGTTTGTGAGTCTGAGCCCTGAATGGGGCTCCATGCTGATAGTGCAGAGCCTGGTTGGGATTTTTTTCTCCCTCTCTCTGCCCTTCTCCCGTTCATGCACTCTCACT